ATTTTGGTTTTTTTCTACATGTTTACGAATATTAAAAAATTTAATGTAACAATATTTATTTTCGCAAGATATACATTTGTTCGAATATTCAGTAATTTTGTACAAAATTATCATAGCCGCTCTTTAGTGATCTTTAATAACATGAACATTATGTTTGTTTCTAGCGTATTTATCAATATGTTCAAAATTTTACTTTTTGCATGATTATTTACATGATTATTCAAAATCATTTTATAAAGTCATATAAAATGTAGACGTCCAAACTCTTCAAAAATTATTTACGCAAGCATTGTAAAAAGGAACTAAAGGAATATACATTTCGTACATGGATTTGAAAATACTGTCTTTTTATGGACAAAAAAGCAATACTTCTATTCCCAACTATGAAATACGTAATCCTCCAATTCTTTTTTAATGTAGTCGTGTTAGTGATTTGCTAAGGGTTCTGATGTCTACTTTTTTCATGAAAATATTGTGCAAGAAAAGTAATATTTTTATGTCCAATTGCAAAATATATAATATCAAACGGTTCATTCTTCAAATATCGAGTGATATAAACATTGTATCTATTTTAAGTTACGATTCGATACATTTCGAGCAACTACTAATTATCTGATTTTTGTTATTCTTATTATGTATGTACTGAGTATGTCACTCGAAGATTCGTCTATAACAAAAGTTTATTATATTCACGAAATCGGTTTAGTTTTTATAAATGTACAAACACATATTCTTTAAAGCATAATTTAAAGAATATTATCTTTCAGATTAATAACTATAATTTATAATTTTATAAGTTTAACTTATTGTGTTAAATCATAAATTTACAAATATATATATATATTTAAATTTACAAATTGTGTACATTTATATAAACACAAAACAAATATGCGATACATAAGTCAAAATACGCTAATGCCTTTATATGTTTCAAATCACTTGCCAAAGTCAAGATTGTCATTATAGCTGGCCATGAGATGCTACTTAAAAGTGTCGCTACCATCATTTCCAATTGTCAAACTCTATGAAGATAAACCTATATAAACATATATAAGATATCAGAAACAAATATTGATTACTTGATTTTTGTTGTTTTTATGTATTAAAAACGCCACTCAAAGAATAAAATGTAATAATAAATGTAATGTCATAACAATAATAATTAATAAAAAATATGAATGAAACTCACGTTTATTTTTCTTTTAGTCTGCGTGGCTTGTGGACGCTCCTGCTTGATCGTATGCTGTTCCTTGTTTCAATTCTTCTTGTCTTCTATTCCAATCCTCCTTATGTTTATTAATACGTGATTTTTTAAATTGTTCATATTCCAGTCAAATTCGATATCTTCTCCGCAAATCGTACATTTCGCCAAATCTCCAAGTTGTCTCACGTATTTAAGTCCCCAACAAATTTTACGGGGGTACAGCTTTCTCATATCATGTATTTCATGGTTGTTTATGAAGGATTCATCTGGCAGAATTTTATTACATACCATACATTTTATTTCAATTGCATTATCATCTATGAACCTCATACCTTTCCAGCCTATTATGTTTTGTTCTGTCGTCTTCATAGATTCTTCAAAATCGTAAATTTTTTTATGCTTGATTACGTGGTCTTTAATCGTGTGAGTGAAGATATATATACAATTCATTTTACAAATCTCACATTTTGCTCGAAAATCCTTTTCAGCTTTTGTATAAAATTTATCCAACCACCAAAGCTTTTTACTATGGTATTTCCAACACTGTGCGTGTCGTTTAAATATACTGCGTGGTACTTTTATATCATGTATTTTGAGATGTCTTACTAAATACTTAGACGTAAACTGAAGTGTCATTTTTATGTCACAGAGCGTACATTTTCCGAAAAAATTAGTAACTTCCTCTGCGTCGATGTATTTCCAAACCCAACCTTGTGATTCATAGGGTTTTAGATCTTTCTTGTTCTTATGATCTTTCAATAAGTGATGTTTTAAGGAATAGTTTGACGTTCCTCCACTATGCTCTTTTTTACATACAATACATCTTGCTTTTCCTTTCTTTGTTAGATTAAAATATTTCCATATATAATGCTTACGTTGCATATCGTATTCCATTTGAAGTTCATCTTGATGCTTAACAGACATGTGTTCCTTAAACGCATCAACAATCGCGTATTTAATATCTTTTTTACAAGCTATACATTTCACTTGAAAATTATGGTTGAATTCCTTTTTTACATAGTTTCTTTCTATCCAGGACAAATTTACAGTTTTTGATAACCAAGACATTGTGTCTGATCTGTACGATAGAACGCGTTTAACTGAAGACAATGCGAACATTATTTCGTCGAAAAGTGCGTGGTGGAAGTGGTTGAGAAAAGCGACGTATAGTTTTTCTATTTAAACGTAAATATTGACAGCGTTCAAACCTACCTAACAGTTAGCAAGAGAGGCGGTAGGATTTGATGCGAATGTATGATAATATAACAATTTCGCGAGCGAGAGAAAGGGAAGGGCGGAAGAAGAGGCATTGCAGCAAATCTGTAATACAGATAAATAATATTTTTTAAATAATTCAAAAGTTGTTCTTAACAAATTTTATAACTTTCAATTAATATTCTATTATCTATAAAAATGTCTATATCGAAGAAATGTGTTGTTTTTTAAATTTATTGATATTGCGACATATAAAAAATAATACATTTGATACACTTTTTGCAGAAATATAATTATTTCCTGTCCTATTTTATTCACCTCATTTATATTTTAGATGCGCCACCATCGTTATCGTCATTCCCTTCATTTTTCTTCACTATTTTGATATAAATATATAATCAATAGTTTTCTTAAACATTTGCCTAAAAGATGAATAAAAGTTTAATGTGCGTTATAATTATCCCTCAAATAATTATTTTAAACGCTACTATAATTTGAATGTACTTTGTATGTTACAGATCAACTTATGAACAACTCCGCTGCTACGCATTGTACTAATCAATCCAATTTGATTTATTTTAATATTACTAAGAAAATAGATTTAAAAATAATGTAAAAGATACAAAGTGTCTCGGACTAACCATATCATTCGTTAATAACAGATTTCTAAAGTTTCTCGTAAAAATATGGTAAGAATATCAATATGTTACATGGCTAAACTCGTAAATTTTTGACAATTTGATTGATTAACTTTAAACATTTCCCATTTAAAAATTACTGTAGCCTTGGCATTTTGGAATAAAGATTATTATCTTCAAATCAAGAATCTGATACAATCAATTTGAGATATAAGATCACTCTGTATAAAAAAAATTACTTCAATAATATTACTATAATAAAAATATATGTATTTATCAAAATATCTATAGGACAGATATTGTTTTTTATTCAAATTTTATAATATAGAAGCAACACAATACAGTTTGTGATTCGTGTCAGCAATTACACGTCTGAGAATAATCAACATGCTCGATAAATTTGGGAAACTCGCTCAGTATCTTTTGAAGTGCGCCTAAGCATGAATGAACTTCGTGACAGAATATAGTAAGCAAATTGGAGAAGGAACTAGCCCGTCTTACAAGCGCAGCGGTTGGCTTATAATATACAAAAGACACATGTGCGGGTGTGTTTATATTTTCCGGTAGCGTCATCAGAATACAGAGATCCGGAACCAGGGCGTAACGAAGGGGGTCAGCACATCGATTCTAATAAAATTTCTTAGATAAAAACGCTGAATCTCCCTAAATTATTTTACTAATGTTTAATATTTCTCTATTAATTTACATCTATTCGTTAATTTTATAAATATAAAAAGTGTATGTTAAGTAAAAAAAAGAGATTCTCCAAATTTCTGGTCACTTCCCTCCCTGAAATCCCCTGCGCGTCTTTGAATTGTCCAGAATTTGAAAATTTGATCAAAGATTCTAACACTCCGGTGTCGCAAGTAGAAAGATGCAGCAGCCACCCACGTTTTGTGAGTGCGCCTTCCTAACTGCTTACTTCCCGGTGGCCGTCGCACCGCTCCGTATCTTGCTAATAGCGCGCACGGTCGTGCAGGCGGTCGCAATCATCATTTAATTATGATATTCCGGGACGCGTGGTCACACGCCTTCCCGTTTGTCGGAGAGCAAGGCATCCGAGAAAAGTATCAGGTAGGCGGATAGATCGCTGTTTACATTTTCGTTAGGGGAAATTAGGCGGACAGACTAATGATGGACCACACACGTCTTGCTCGCGTTCATATCACGCAATTTCGCAGATGGCACATCTAGGCTTGTAAATCAAACGGCGGCCGGTTATTAATTTTGTCCCATCGTTCGATGACAAATTAGTTTTGACAAATAATTATCCCGAGATTTCTACGAAGAAACTATAATAGTACGATGCCATTTCTTTAAAGCTCTCTTGATGATAATCTTCCGCGAGTATGCTCTAAATCGAAAAATTTAATTTAAAAAATTTAGTATCGATTAACGTAATGTTATTAATTAGAAAATATTTAAAGGTATATTAAGCTATCTAAAACAAATTATCAGAATATAATAAACTATATATGAAAATAATAGCAAAAAATTAGCAAATTATTTTCATATATAATTCATTATATACTGATAATTTGTCTCAGATAGCTTAATTATTCCCAATATTTAAGTGCTATCTCGCTAAAGGTAATATTCACATTTGGGTTAGGATTGCTCTCGGTAGACAGAGATCACTATTTTCGGTTTTCCGACTCGGAAGAGTTACGCTCGTGTTCAGGGGCCGTCTTTGTCGTTTCTATAGAAGCTCCATTAATACTCGGTAACGCAATAAACTATATTTAGGGGGCGGCATGGCGTACACGTAGTATGATTTGATATCTCATGAAACACCACATGGCCCCACTGAATTTCTCTCTTCCACTCGCTCTCTCGATCTTTCTCTCTCATTTTCCATCCGCCTCCGCTTTGTCGCCGCTACCGCCTCTTTTCCGTTCCGTTTCCCTTTTCCATCGAAAACCTTGCTATTTGCCGTTTAACTTCCTCGTGCCGATTACTGAGAGATTAAATCCGTATCGATCTTTTTGTAATCGAAATGTAAAAAAGTCTTGCTCGGATTAAGCTTACGACAAGCAACGTGTCACGCGTCTCTGACAAAATAATAGATGACGAAACTAATTTCTTTTGAAATCAACTGAACTCATTACAAATCGTCTTTGTTTAAGCTGACAGCTGCTTTTAAATAATTACAAAATCTTATTATAAAAAATGTAAATATAAATTCTATATAAAAGTTTTATATCTCTCTTAAATTTTATTATAAGATATAAAAATCATGAAATGATATCAATATAAATATATCAATTACAATAAATTGACAGCAACTGAATTATAATGCGATTTATAATTTGTTTTCTGGAAAAAATATATTTAATGATTTAGTTTTGTAAAATATATGTAATATATAAATAATTCATAACAATATTTATCAATTGTTTTTATTTTTCCCGAAATACGAAGAATTTCGGTGATTCAGCGTGAGGTGCAAGGCTAAGAAAGAAAAAGGAAGATAAACGGAAAGAGGAACCACGTGTCATCGATGGAAAAATAAATAAATTCCACTAGCTGTGCAACGATAAAGCGCAGAACACCGTGGCCTACCTTGTTTACGTCTCACCGCTCTTTTCCGAAAGAAATGGCCTACTTAACGACGGAAATAATAATTAGTGAACGTGTCGACGTTCAATGCGCGGCCTGGAGATTCCCGGGTCACGAGACTGGCACGCGTCCTTTGTGTATCCTTTTTCTAAACATTCTTCTGATATATACATTCGCTATGTTGTGCACGCATATTCTATGTAAAACGAAAAAAATAAAATAACTCGAAAAATATAAATTGATTAAAATATTGTCTTCAATTAAATTCAGCAGCATAAATTATTTTTTTAATTTTCTTTTTTAATTCGTAAGAAAATTAATGATATTTTCATAATACTTCTTCAATAGAATTTCGTATTAAAGATGATAATGAAACAAATATATTTGAATGATGTGTGCATTTTGGCAGTATTCATAAAAAATTAATAGATATCTCAATATTAAGTTAGAAATGAAAAAAATATGTTTTTCATAGATAAAACATCGGAAAAATCCCTCCGCCATTGAAAAAATCCGTGCGGCGTTCGATCTGATCGCGTCTTCTAAACCGAGACTTCGAGTGTTCACCGGTCGGAAAAGGACTCGAGTGCACTCATACTAGATCCTACTGGGTGTCCTGTGGTTTTCCACAGAGGCGGGCAGAAGCGATTAGAGGCGATTAAAAAGTGTTCTGGATTGCGTCCCACTACCGCAAAAGCCACCGGCAACGACCGCTGTATTCCCGCACCCCGTCGTCTTTACACCCCCGTCGCGTCGACGAGCAGATACCCCAAGGGGTTCGGCCCCTTAGGTTTGCGCGTGAGGCTTCACACATCGATTTCCAAAATCAATTATGTGATTATATGGTGGATCAATAAATACGATTGATTAATTTGTGCTTAATTTGAAAAACACGAGCGAATTTGAAGATTTCACATATAAAAGAGCTTCCAATTAAATTGTACAATCAAAACAGATTGATCTCACGCTTAAATTATGATAATGATAACTTTTTAAATATCTATAAAAATAAAAATATGTATGTAATATTTGTCATTGACAGAACACGGCTTACACAAAAATGTTTACTATTATTACATCTAGAATACCTTCTGAATAAATTTATATTTATTATTGTATTTAGGACTTCAATATGTCTCGACGCGCCACTGCGGATACCAAAGTGAGACAGGCGGGTAAAGGGAGACAGCAGGAAGTCAGGGCTTTTCACAGGATGAGACAATCCTCCCTATACGCCAGAGATCCCCACGCACTTCTCATCTCCACTATCACGGTTATTACTTAATAGATATCGCGAGGAGCCGCCAGGCGTAAGAGAGACCGTTATTATCGCACGTTATTCCGCTACATTCGCTCCTTCCTTCCTTCCAACCATCGCGTCCTGCGCACGAACAGCAACCACCAGGATCTCTGGTTGGCTCCCGCCCGCCCAGCCCTTGTTGAAGGGCTGTCTGTTGGTTGAAGGGAAGTTGCGAGAGGGGAGAAAGTTCGGGACACGCCGGTGATCAGCCTTTACGTTCGACTTCGCTGATTACATTAATAATAATTGAATTCAGGACAAAATAATTAAATTTCAGAACTCAATATTTTTTTTTAAATGTCGCTTATATCGGAGATAAATTTTGTCTCGAAAGATCATGAAAGTAGTGGCGAAAATATTGGCATAATCAAATTTAGGATATTTTTCCTAAAATTTTGATTGTACTCTACACTCAAAAAAATGATCTTGCAATAATAGCTAAAATTTTCTAGGTGTAAAAAATTAACTAAAACAGATAAATGATTAGCAACTGTTGTGATATTGCATATGTAATTACTTAATCAGTTTAGATGACAGAAACAGAATATATATCTGTATTGTTTGTGAACTTTAAAAAGAAAGTTTCCCTAAAGCGCCTATCTATATAAGATCAATCACGTGTTAGATCATGCAATGAATAACATTTAGCAATGGTACCTAAATTTTTCAGAAGCTATTGCTAGAACATTACTGCTATAAATTCTATATGTGACAAACAATGTTTTCACAGATACGAAAAATAGCGATACATTCTTGTTGCGATATCTAGAAATCTAACTACATCAGCGAAATATTTTTTTCAGTGGTCATATAGTCATCAATGAACTCCAAATTGATTTCTTCTAGATACAAGAACTAACATCTAATTAATAAGTTTACGCTAAATCTCGTAATATCAATCTTAGTTTATCTAAAACAAAGTTGTATCAAGCAATGAATTATAAAATAGAAATTACTATCTTTTGAAGCCAAGGACTTCGCGATCGGCTCAAATGACGGCAGATAATGATCGCTCTTCGAAAGCGCCTATCTCCTGGTGAAAGTGGTTCACGAGGAAAGCCGTGGTGATCACAGCCGCCTAGCATCAAAGAGGAAAATTAGTCCTATAAGTGCTCCTTTTAATCGCGGCATTTCCCTTTGACAGCGAAAGAGAACTGCTACCATCGACTCTGTCAAGAAGCTCCTGCGGCGTTTGCCGCCGGACTGGCAGCCGACCGGCCACTCGACTGATCACTTTCGCCAGTATCTACCATGAGAAGCCGAAAAAAACGTAAAACGGATTATCGATCATAGAGGAATGCCGAAAAAAAAAGCAACGGAATTTTCGGAAGACAGTAATCCTTCCAGTAATTATTGCGACACGTTCGGCGTTTTCATCGCGCTTTCATCGCGAAATGTAGACGTCTGAATTTCACCGAGATTAAATGTGGTCTTAAATCAAATTCAAAATTAAAAAATCGATATCTTTAATATTGAATATGCAGCACAAATGTGACAAAAAAATTTTTTTATTTTCGTTTTACGAAACTACCAATTTGATTTGATAACGCACAATGTCCTAAATTGGCAACAATCTCTTCGCGAAGATAAGCAATAAAAGCTTCAATATGATTTTCAGAGACTGATTAATTCTTTTATTTTTAACAAAAATTAATAATAATGTTGGGGCTCCAATAAATCAACAAATAATCTTGGGAGAAAAAGGCGAAAAGAATTCTAGGACGAACACCTAGCAACGGCTCTTTTCGTCTTTTACTTTTAATTACTATGGAATAGTGAATGTTGGACAAATCTAGTTTACGGCTAGATAACTAGAAATAATTATTCGGTTATTACGCATTGGCGTCTGGTTTCTCTCACGAATAAAACCAGACGCCTGCCCTTATCGCAGATAATGCATTCACTTTTTTTTTATTCGCTTACCATAAATTCTTGCGATCTTATATATCGGACAAATGGTTACAAACGCATCGTCCTCTGATTTTTCGGAAGTAAAAAATAATTACGGCAATTATCCATTATTGGTTATCCTGTTCTACAAAAGTATGACATAAATATCATTAGGCATTGCGTATTTTCAAAATTGATAGCATAGTTTCTTCTAGAGAAAAGAAAATTAATTTCCTTTTTATTTATTTTAAAAAAGTTGACTCTTATGAGATGATTGATCCGGTTAGAAACTAGAATTCATCGTAAATACATATATTGTATCTGATTTTCATTTTGTAAATGAGAATCACATATTGTTTCCTAATTAAGCAATTATCATAATAAGACATAAATTATCTTGTAATTTAATCTTGAAAAACAAGACGGGGAAAAAATAGGTTCTAACTTATGCGAACAGGTTGTTAAAGGAGTAAGAGTCCCGCGGGATCTCACTACCGGTTTCTTCCCTTTGATTCGGTGTGTTATTTTTGGTTGTTTTACTTTTAACCCAAGAAATATCGTACAACGAAAGTAAGTTTTTTCTTTCAAAGAAAAGGCACATTCCGGCGGATATGCTCGCGCGTTCACATTTCTCCATTATGAATATAAAAACATGACATCGTAAAAATAGGTTGACTGCTAGTTTTTCTACATACTACATGACAAATCACTGTAATTAATACACGATGTTTAACGATTCCAATATTGAAATATTTGTAAGTGGAATAGAAAAGAGTTGATAATGTATGAATAAGAGAATATCTATTCTCTTACTCGTACATCTTACTTAATTTATTTACAATACCTTCGAATGTTTATATGTGTGTTTTCGCAAAGAATCGAGTAACGAGCTAAATACGCAGCAAGAAACTACTAAAGATAGTTTTCGAAAAAATCACATTTGCGAGAGTGAGAACTTAAAATTTAAAAAAAAATCCAGTGCGGCTATTAAACTATTTTCTTAATTACAAATATTGGGATTCAACTGAATTGATTTAACACATCGTTGACAAAAATAAATGAATCAAAAAGGAGATATTTCCCACATTTTGGTGAGAAGAAAATAAAATAAAAGGAAAATCAAAATATCGGTTTAAAGATTAAAATTAAACAATTAATTAATTTCTCTAAGAAAAGGCTCGTAACGATAATCTATCAAATATAATATAATAATAGTTACCGAGTCGTCGCGGTAAGAAATAATTTATTTTTATATCGAAACTATTCGTCTATATCGAGACATTAAAACAATATTTTATTCTCTCAACATTTTCTTTATTAGTAAGCAAACATTCGATTAAACAAATCATTTTTTTTTAAATAACGAGTAAATTAAATTAAAAATGTATGTATTGAAAGGGAAAATAATAAATCTTCGAGGAAAATGCAATTTAGGAAATGTTTAACTAGGAAACTTTCAATTGAAAAATATTGGATAAAATTTTCCGTTCCCCTTCGAGCGAAATCAAGGTGAAAAGAGTGTTCCGTGCACTCCGCGAATCTTCGTCTAACTTGCGACGCAATCTCGCGCTACACGCTGATATCTCGCCGCGGCTGATATTATTACATCGCGATGCGGCGTCTGAGTATTCGCGTTCGCGCTCGAGTCGATTGGCAAAAAGGCGATGCGTGACGGCGATGGCGATACATTGCGAATCGAGCTGGCTGTGGCCGACGGCGGAGGGAGGATGACTCCTAAATCAAACCCCCACTTCGTCGACGGCGAGCTCCCTCAATTTACTAATTGAATCGCGGGGTTCTGCTCAGGGGCGTAGACCAGGCTGGGCTCCGCCCGCTTACGAGATCGGGTCATGACAGACCTCTGCGGGTACACCCACTCGTATCCTTGCTACACATTGACGACGGCGAGAAGTGGCGAACGAGAAACCGGGGGGCTTTGCCGTAGGGGGTCAGGATCGCGGTACCGCACCGAATTTCGTTTCCTCAGTGTCACTTTGACCGCACGTCTGAAAACGGCATCATAACGTTTCGATAACGAGACCAGAGCGAGCGCGATTGACACGATTTGCGTTGACTGAGCGAGAATCGCGGGTGAACAGTCGCGAGAGAGAGATATATAAGAAGAGACGTTCACGACCAAAAAATAGAAAAAAACTGCATAATCAAACATAATAAACTAGCACATATCAACGACAAGTTTCCTCTGGCGAAACGATATTCAAAGGGAATTTGAAGAGATGTTAACGATCGAGTGAGAATATATAAGGAAGCATAATCAGTGTAAATGATAATCGACCAGCGATAAATTTCATTTCGCGAAACACGATTTGAATAAAAGTTGAAGAGATCTTTGTATATGTTTGAGAAAATCATAAATGATAATAATTGAGCAATCGCTTTCATTTCGGTGACGAAAGTGAAAGACTCGTGTGATTAAAAAATATATGAACTAAGCTGCGTAAAAAGTATAATAACTCAGCGAGAAATTTGAGTAATCGGGGTGACTTTGTGAAATAAGTAATTAGTGACAGGACGAGTTGTGACAAATTAGAGGGTCGTGGTAATAATCAGACACCATGCTCGGTGGATACGAGGCGCAGACAGACTACTATCCGCAGTGGCATCAGCCATACAATTATGTCACTCAACTTCCCTACGGTAAGTGCTTCTGACAAAACTGATTATCTTTGATATTAATTTGGATATCATGGCAAAGCATATTCTTTTACTATTTTTTTAAAATAATAATTTACAAGTATACCGACTTTAAGTATAACTTTATATTAAGTCAGCTTTGAAGATCGCAGAAAGTTACATAGTTTTTAAAATAAAAAAGCTGGAGATTTTATTACTTTCATATTTTTTTTATATTTCTGTATTTACGAATATTCTGTCCATGTCCAATTTTTATACTTTTTTTATAATTTATCTACATTTCTATTTGAATTTAATAGTCTAAAATCGAAAATTTTTTTTTTACAAGAAATTCTTTCGAAGAGATTAAGATCTTTCAATCATTTATATGGCGCATCGATAATCGCACGCATTGATAATAAAATCTTAATTAAAATATTAAGTAAAAGATACATCAATGCGAGTCCTGTTCGATTCTGGACTATTAAATTTAAATAGAAATTTAGATAAATTTATTTTAAAAATATAAAAATTGGACAGAATATTTGTAAATATAAAAAATATGAAAATAATAAAATCTCCAGTATTTTTTAAATTATAGCTTTTCACTAAAATTTTGTATATACATGTGTAATAAAACTTATATATAATATATCCCTTTATATTCGCTATAATATTTTTTTTCTCGTCATTGTCGTCACAATTTCATGTATTGAATTGCAATTAGAGTGTTCATTAAGTTATTTTTAAATGCATAATAATGTGTCTATATAATAAAGTCCATTTTACATAAGTTCAAGAATGAAAAAATTCCATAATGGTAAAACTCGATTTTCTACTTTATATGCAAGAGAGTGACCTTATTTTTGCTTCTCTTATCATTCTCTTCATTAATTCATGCAGTAATACCTATCATTACAACCAATTATAGATGAAAGAAGCGTAGGAGATCGAACTAATAACAGTTGCAAAATATGATGTGATCCGAGAGAGATTTATAAATATATATCATAAGAGTTTTTCATGCATGCCGCACATGTTTTACGTGTCTTATGCAAATGACTCTTTTAACGATCCAATTATTGAGCAGATTGAATCCTAATGTTTTGTTTTTGTTGTTTCTTTTATGCAAATAACTTGTGAATGTAGAAAAATTTGCTTTTCCGTTTATTTTATGACGTATTATCAAAAAATATGTTACGTAAGATATACATTATGTGTTTATTCTAGAATATACGTCAGTTACGTCATTATTCTAGAATATAATTAGAACACACACAAAGATCAGGATCTAAATTACAAAACATTTATTGCGTCGTTTTCTGCTATGAGAAAGAATGCAGAATGTGAATCTAGCAAATGCAATATCTCACAGAAAATCAATTATCTTCGAAACTTCAACTACTTCAAGAAAGATTATAGAATGATTCGGAAGAATTCCTGATTTTTTTTAACATTTTAATATTATAATATTGCACAGACAAAGAAAAGATCACGTCCTGATGCTTCGTTAAGTTCTCTCACCGAGAATTATTGATTTTAGGCCCCGAAAAATTACCATTCGCCATTATTGCGCAAAATAAAATATTGATAAAAAATGAACCTTCTATCAAAAAATCATAATATAAAATTACAATCGTCATGTTTTCTCGTGAAAATTCGTAAAAATATTCCTAATGCGTCTACCGAATCTCACAAAACCGCAACATGGATTTGATTTCTCTACAGACAGTCAATCGACGTATTGGGGAGGCGCAGATTCCGGTATTTCGGGGGGTAGTTCCGGGGCAGGTAGTCCGACCGCGTCGACGCCACCCCTGATCGAAGAAATCGGCATTCAAGAGCCGAACTACTCGTCCCTACAGCAATACGTGCATCCGTCGACCGGCCAGCACTACGCCACCCTGGCGTACTCTCAAGGGCAGCAGGAAACCTCACCCCATCATCATCACCATTATTTGCACCATCATCATCATCATCAGGCCGGTCATCGGCGCGAGCACGAGTTCGCGAACAGCCAGATCGGCCAGCAAATCGTCGGCGGAGTGGTCGGCACCCTTCAGCAGCATCTTCATCAGGATGTCCGCGATGACGGCGTGACGCCTAGGCCGAAAAGACGGAACACCGCGAATAAAAAGGAAAGAAGACGCACGCAGAGCATAAACAATGCCTTCGCCGACCTGAGGGACTGCATACCTAATGTCCCCGCGGACACAAAGCTATCCAAGATCAAAACTCTGAGGCTAGCGGCGTCCTACATTGGATACCTAATGGCAGTTCTTGAGAGCGATGAGGGCGAGGAGCCGCAGACCTTCCGCGCTGAGATTCTCTCGAACGGCAGGAGGAATAAAGCGATTCAACCCAATCAAGTGAGTCATTTTCAGTGATTTACGCAAACACGCCTTTACAATTTTCTGAGATTCATTGGTATTATAAAATTATAATAAAGAATCATCGATATACTTATATATCTGTAACGAAGAAAATGAAGAGAGTTGCGGAGTGAATTCTCTGTACTGAAAAATCGAGAGTAATATATTAACTGAAAAACAAGTTTGAAAAAAATGCTCCGCTTTCAACAGATAAAACATACGGTAGTCGCTGTATTTTTTGACATAAATTTTATACGAAAATAAAAGTACAGATCGTTTGCAGCTAACGCGCGCGCGTTAACATTTCTTCTTAAATGTACGCACTTTTATCAACAAGACGCGATATATATTTTCCATCGATTTTCATTTTTCTCCGCTCGCTCATCGAGTTCTTCGAACTCACAAGATTTTTGTCCTTTCGAAAAGTTCGGGAAAACTTCGAGAGCTACTCGAGACCGCGCACGCGGACCGCCGTCGGTCGCGGAAAGTTCTTCAGAATGAATTATTCTATGTCTCGTGGACGGAGGCTTTCTTAAATCTCTCAGAACACTTTTGTAAGCGTTACTCCAACGTAAACATTCGCCTCTTTAATTGGTCTATGTTCATACGTCAGTCTGAGAATGCGACCTTAAAGCCATCAACATGCCTCGGGATTTGTTAAAGGCGTAGCGTACCGAATTCTCACACGGTCATTATTATTTAAAACAAAGATCGAGAAGAAAGCTTTATTGATACTTACATTCATCTGTTCAAAATATATATCAGTTGATATAATACAATGCAAAAGTGGACGATTAACTTATAAAAACAGTACAATTAATTTCTTTTTACTTAAAATGTGATGTAATTACCTTTACTGGAAAATTGATTGCGCAGGACAAAAAATTCCTTGAATTCAATTTTGTTGACAATGAAAGTTATTGTCGGAATTTGTGTCGGAAGGATTCCCTCGGGAGGTTTCGGAAATGTCATTAAGATAGAAAGTACAAAGAAAATTCGACAAAGATTGGTTTTCCGCCTACTCATTTCTTTCTCATTTCGGCATTCGGAAATAATCTAGTTCCTTAAACCTGTGTTTTGTGGTTTTCTCTATTTTCCGCGATCGTTTGCCGCCCACGTGGAATTTTCTCTCCTCAATAAAGGTCGCCATAATTTTCACTCATGGTCGATAATCGAGGCCCTTCATCTCCTGGATCAATTTGTCTAACAATTACTGAAGTTTCATCTCTATTCCCTAAACCCGCAAATTTCGTTTTCCCTCTAGCATTAAATGGAAGACAAAGAGCGGAGAGGAGCATTAAATTTTGGAGATAATATTACATTAGCTACCGAAATCATTTTTTTGATGAAGACACTCGTGTCATTAAGTATTTCTGTTTCTTCGTAGAATGAGTCGTGTTTGCAATCTGCTTCGAATCTCGGTCACGAAGAACCGACGAAGAGCAAAGGACGAACGGGTTGGCCGCAGCACATGTGGGCCCTCGAATTGAAGCAGGAATCACCGACCAGCCAGATGCAATAAAATATATTGGAGACAACCCTGTCAAAACATATCCGCGATATTTTACAAAATATCGTTCGAAACGAGCATTACTTTTTGCGCCTGATGTTATTTTTTGTCGTCGTAAAAAATGTGGGCCGCAATTTAATGACTGGTGTTTTAAACTTTTTCAGGACATCTCGGAACAATTACGAAAAAGAGAAATACGAAATTATCAACAGCCAATACGTAATGTCGAGTATAAAATAATGTTTCGAAAAATTCTTTTTATAAAATACAATATAATGGAAGAGCATTAAGAGCCGTCGCAGGATGTTAGCGCGGAAATTTTTAATTTTTCTTAAAGAAATTAGTTAATTAGCTAAAAAGTAATGCTCTTCTATTATATTGTACTTGATAGTTATCATACGAGCCTTTCCATTATATGTCTTTTTATAAAACTTTCAGTTGTTTAGCGAAAGATATAATTGTTTGGTGTAAAAAAAGATAGATTCGTTTGTATATAACGCGCATTTATGATTGTTCTGTATGTACATAGAATTTCGTTCCTATAGTAATCGGTATCCATACTTTGAGCCAAAGAATATTATTTTACTAATCCCTTTAAATCAAACGACGCGACTGAATTGTAATTGAGATCACAGACGAGTTGTTGATTAAACACAAGAATCTTTGTAAAATTTTGTAAAAAGTATCGTTAGAAATGTATAAAATGTCGCTAAAGCAATAAACAATGGATTATAATAAAATAATGTCTTATTTTTACCCTTTTGATGAACAAAACTCTTTACCAATTTTTTGCTTAATTACGCGTTTAAAAAAATGTACTCAATAAAAATCACACGTTAAAATAATTTTTGAGTATATAGTAGAAGCATGGTTTAAAAAATAATTTTATCATATATTTATATTTTAATTTAAAAACAAATTTAGATAATATAAATGCCAAAGAAAAATATTTTTCGCATATTCCATAAAAAAGGTTGGGCAGTTTAAAAAGTTCTAAAATACAATATACGTATTATGCTTATTATTAGAGAATCGTAATTGATCAGTATTTGTGGTATTAAATAAGATAAATTAAGAATAAAATATGCTAGAATATATAATTTTAACAACTTTCTTGCTTCTTTTATTGAATTGTAACTATATATTTGTGTTTTGTATAAAAGAGTCATTCGTTTTTATATTAGACTCATATGTTATTCAGAAAGAAAAATGTCGCAAGAAGTTGTTGAATGATCTTTATCTCTTCCGTAGTGTCTTGTTTGTTTGCGAGTTTTGCTCTATTTTGAGTATTTCATTTCGTATAATCTCCAGTAAGGACTTTAATTTGTTTATTAATTCAAGTGTTAATTGCTTTAACTATTTTCCCACTTTATTACCTATTTAGATTTTAATTATTAATTTATAATAAAAATATGAAAAGCTAGATTTTCTCAAAAATATATTTTTATTTCGCAAAAGAATTGTTTTCCTACTAAAACGTAAAATAACTATACCTTAAGTTTATATGAATTAAAAATTACTGCAAAATTTCAGAATATTGTAGATTTATCGTTTTGCCAAACCTTCCTTATTAGAATATAAAAGTAATTTTTTTTTATATTACTCTCGCAAAGTACTTATAATATCCGTTACAAATATTTTAGTTACTTCTTGTGGCGTCGGGTTTTTTTACACCGTTTTGCACTTTAAGTTTACATATACATATCCCTTATTTTCCAAAAGAGGAAGTCGTGAGAAGTTTTCCTCCTCTACCTTTTTCTTCAGCTGGCTCATTATAGACGAAGAGCTCATTGTGCGGAGCGGTCGGTTTCGGATTTCGTGGGTACCCTGGCGCCAGTGTACTTGATCCCATGTAGCCCTGATACTCTACATGTAACCAATATATATCCAGAGGAAGAGATTACTCTCTATCTGTTGCTGCGGTAGACTCGTCGATTTTATCAATATCGATATCCATTTCGCTCATGTTACTAATCATCGAGTTTATTACTGTTGTACTGAATCACTTTGTGCCACACCGAAATGACTTTAGAGTAATTTGACTTGTAGAAAAATTGATAGATAAGCAGCGAATTTTTCTGGACATTCCAATCTATGGATTAATTGATTAAACAACTAACTGGTCGTAGAAGCATTTCTGACGCAAACTTCGATATCAAAATCTTCTCAACAGAACTCAATAAAATATTCAATTGTTGTAATTTTAAATTCTGCCATCACAGAAATTTTCCCAGGGATCTCGACGCGATAATCAATTAATCTTGTGTTAATTATTTGATTAACGTAATCATTTTCATTTTTGCTACTAAGAACTTCAACTTCACGAGACTAAATATTTGCGACTATCTTCGATGGCATCAGTCCATTAATATCCGTCGCGTCCAAACAACGATCGGATGAATCGACGCCGAAGACGACATTGTCGAGCTTGTGTATTGTACGCGAGTGATCGCGAAGTCCGGGATCGATATTACCGAGGCGATTGACGAGCCGTTTGTTTATCGCAACGAGTGGCACTATATTACGCGCGAGTGTGCACGTCCGTAGAACTTTGAGAATGTTAATAGTTGAACCTCGCTGTTGCCTCGCCATAAATATATCAGCCGACTCCTCCAACGCTCACGAGGCTTCGTATTTTGTTATTTGAACCTAAAATTCTTTCATCTACGTCATCTATTAAAACGCGAGTGTCAGATCAAACGTTCATTAGCAGCAAATATTGTCTACATTATCACGGCCCTTGTGCTTTAACTAAACCGTATTATGAAATTATTATTATTAATTGAAGCAATCCAGATAAAAAAAAAAAACGGCTTTTCGCGTAACAAAGTTTCGAGATGAAACTGTTTTAAAGAATCTTTCGATAAGAACCACTGCGCGCTTTATGTTCTATAATATTTTAACGAGCCAAGTTAATTCGATAAAAATATTTTTTATGATGGATAAAGACGCGATTTCGTTGTACTTTTTGCGAACGGAGAAAACCGAACTGAAAAAAAGGAAGAATCGTAAATATTTCAAGTATCTTTCTCGCTCGTGAGGCGTGCCGGAATGTCAACTCTTCACTCTGTGATCCCGGCACTTCATCGACGATCCGTATCAAACATTCTACTCCAAAACAATTCTCTGCGCGCGTAATTTCGTAGCAGGCATTTACGAGTGCTAAATCACCGCGCGACAAATTCCGCTCGAACTGAAGCGAACAATACAATTTTAAACAGTCAGACGGTCGGACCGCGTATTGTAATTTTAACCGTTTGCAACTCCAAAATTAAGATCGTGGGATAAATCGATCACAAATATTTTGCAACCGTTTAATTTATATCGATCGATACGATATTCGCGCGAACGACGCGCCTCGCCGTGAACATCGGGTGTTGAGATGCACGCCTCCACACGCCTACACCGTGTAATTTTTGGATTCGTTTTCACGTACGAGGGAACGATCTCTTCTGGCTACCGAGAATAGCCAAGTTCTTGCGGTACCACGGGAGTGTTTATATCGCGTACCGTCGGCCTCGGGAGATGTTCTGGGCTTCGTCAGGGCAAGAGTTTACAAAGCGATGCCGATTCACCTTCCCCGCCCTCTTTCGCACCTATTCAGCACAGCGCGTGCCCACATTCGGTTTTCTCCATTCGTAAAAAGTACAACGGAATCCGCCGTAAAAAAAGAAATCACTGTTTCCTTCCCACGGATGAGATTATTTAGGGTGCATGAACCCTGGTTAACGAACAGAAAGAGTCAATTGGAGAGAGTTATCAAAATAATACTAATATTAGAATATTAGAATTTTTGAATAATAAATGTAATTACAAAATTAAGATTATCTATATTTATTTAGAAAATATAAATTGAAAAAAATCATCGTTTTTAATCATTATTATTTGAGAGTAATTGGAAATTTGATATCGCGATATTGCATCTATTGTAACATCGTAATTGTTTTAATTAATTCCACTCTTTGATGAGGCATCTTAATGCAATCGTCATAAAAATTTCACTTTCTTATTCACAAAATCCTCAAAATTTAATTTAATGTAGTTCAATCTTAACAAAACACATTTGTTTCATTCAACCGCGTTATGCTTCTCGACAGATGAAAAATAATTATTTAAATTGATTTACACAAAACTCTGTTTAACACAAGTTAAGGATTGGAAAACTGTTCCTTTTTTTCATTCAAATTCTAATTTAGTCGATGCGGAAAATTCCGAGCAGACATTTGTGCGAATGATTGATCGTTAATTTAAAGTAATGGCTGGCGCGAACAGATAAGACCGAAATAAAGATCTCCGAATACCGTGAAACACAACAGAATAACGTAGCAATCAGATTACCAGATGCGGGACACCCCCGATAATACGTCACGGAGATTTATCTCGGTCTGCGTACGTTTCGGTCGATTCAACTTATCGCCCCACGATCCTACGATCCCAATCTGTTCAAAATCACATTTCAGAAAACTTTTCCAATATTCACAATGAGAATCACTTTGCGATTTTGTCTAATGTTTCAACAAACAATTCTCAAAACATCAAAAGTAAACTCATTTGCGTTATTTTAAAAATATATATAAACACGTCACTGCTGCACAATCATTCATTAAATAACGTGAATCACTGTTGGTCTGATCGGTATGTTAAAACCGCAAGTCTCTTCGAAATCGAGAGCAAAGGAATCGATGTCGCGCGTTGAAAAATATCGTCACGTGGGAAGATTTTCGTAGCGCGCATTCGGCTTGGCAGATGCAAGTGCTCTTACATCGTGTCTACCGAATACGCATCGGGATAAAAAAGTATGAAGCGGGCGTTTGTTTGCTTTGACAAGTATTGAAAGTGCGACGTGAACGTAGAATGAGTGCGACTCGCCCACTTAGATCTCACTGAAAAACCACGATGTACATGTGTAGAGCCGCCCCTTAATTGCGAGTAAGATGTACTCACTGCACATACGTGCGATACATATGTATCGTCCGAAAAAAAAAGGTATACAGTGGCTGGGCCTTAAGCCTTCAATTAATCTGCATCTGATTTGATGACTTACCGAGGCAACGGCATTAACCTTTCGAAAAACAATTGCGCTATTTTCCGTCAAACTTCAAAACTTATAATATTTGTAATAAATGTATGATACAGATATATCATAACATGTACAAACAGAAATATGTCCCCCAAAAATAAATAAATAATGTTAATTGACATCAGCAATAAATAATAAATGATAATTAACAGCGATTATAAGCGTAACGATAAAAAGAAAAAATACAGTCATGAAGTCAATTAATGAGACATTTGAACTTCAAGAATTCATGCGACAACATTAATTCGTAAAATAACGCGCAACTAAAGGCTTTTACGAGTTTCACTTTTTCAGCAGTACGCGTTTTTTTTTAAATAATAAACATAAACTCTGTGTAAACAATGTTAATTGATGAATATATACGGAATTTAATATCCCTCATATAAAAGCACAACGCGATCGTACAATAATGCCGGGCTTGCGCGGCCTTTTATACGTCGGGAGGGAGCATGCAGAATGTGAACTCATTGATCCTCGAATTAAGTCGGCGATCGACAAGTTAAATCCAAGACTAATCGTTTGTTCAATCGGACGCGGTCATTTATTACGCCGCGTGGGGTATGAAAAATACGTGAGAAAAACAAGATTTATTAAACAAAAAGGAAAGATATAGTGCTTACAACTAACTCGAACTATCGTCGCAAATCTTCAAAACAAGTATGCGGAACTTTAATTATCGCGCTACTTAATAATTTTTTTATTCCTATTTCCAGTTTTTGATAATATAACCCTTGTACAATTTTTTAATAATTTGTGCATTCATATTGTAATCCAAAAAGTATACATGCAATAATTTATATTACTATTTAATGTTAAAGATTCTTTTTCTCTAAGAAGATTTTTTGTAAAAATGTAATTATACTACTTAAATTATCAAAAGTTTTTTTAATAGAACTTACATTATTTCTACTAAAAATATTCTATTATCAAAAAGTATTATATATTCATTATATATATAATAAAAATACTAATTTATATAATACACTTTATGGTAATAGAATATTGAAAACTTGTTCTCTTTCACGAGTGCAGAAAAATGATGATTTCGCGCAGTATTTAAATATTCGCGGAATAATATGTATTTCTATTTTCATGCGTAAAAAGTCGATAGCGAATTTCATTCATTGAAATCGTAGGAATTAATGAAAACCGCCACCAGGAGACGAAGATAGAAGCCACCCCGATACGTAGGTGCGTTATTCCTGGACCGTGAATCCGGGATCTAGGAGCCTCATTGTGTATGTAGGACAGTTAGTCTCGCGTCAAATGGAGACGAATCGTTTTTCGTAGACGACCGAGATTGGCCTCGGGGGTGCATAGACAGAGAGAGAGAACGATGAGGACAATGAGATGGAAAAAACAACAACGTCCCAACGTCCCTTCGACGACGCCATTCCACCAGCCCTATAAAACCCCGAGGATCATCGGCGTCCCAACATTACTCGGTCAGAGTCTCGAGGAACGCCGTGTCCGAGATGATCATCACCAGGAACCGCATCAACCGCGCAACTCTAATCTGCGTTCTGGCGTCGTGGCTTTGCTTGGCGTCTCGCGCTTCCGCCGAATACGGTAACGATTTTTTGCAGTTAATTAAGGTACACCCGCTTCAATTTCGTCTCTCTTTACCGCGCGTTCGCAGAATCGCGGGAGATGTCGAACGGCGGACCGGGCGTCGACGCCTCGTGCATCGAGGGCAAGTGCATGAAGCGCACCGCCACGCAGGATGCTACCGCCAGCATGTGGTTCGGCCCGCGTTTGGGAAGACGGCGCAGATCGGACGAGAAGCAGGAAGTGAATTCCGAGATACAGGCTCTGGCGGAAGCCTTGGATAGCGGGCGTTTGGCCCTATTTGCCATTCCAGGTGAGAATTTTGCGAAGCAACTTGTCCATTGCTATTTCACAAATTCATATTTGCTTCATTAGCAAGCTACCGCTGGAAAATGTCAAATTTGCAATTACGCTCGATAAAGAGATTTTTTAGTTAATGTTCGGAAAAATTTTTCTTTGTTAAAATTGTAGAAGTATCTAGTCTTTTTGTCGTGATCAAAAATTACTTGAGATTTCGAACAACGCTTCAAAGTTGTAAAAAGTTAAAATATAACTATTAGATTTTATAACAATTTTCGTCATCGAATCTTATAAAATATATAATAAATAAATTTATGGTATAGAATATTAATTTTCTTAATCTGCGAATTCTTGCCCAGAAATTCACCTAAAAATTAATTTCATTTTCAACGTTTTAAGTTATATTAATCCGCAAATTCTAAAATTTAATGTCAATTTATGCTGCTTGCCATTTTTTTTATAATTGTGACTATCGACGGATACTCATGAATTCCAGCTAACGACAAGAGACAACCGACTCAATTTACACCGCGACTGGGGCGAGGATCAGACGAGGACCTATCCTCCTACGGAGACGCGATTGAGAGGAACGAGATCGACGATCGTATATTACCCGCGTTATTCGCGCCGCGTTTAGGACGACGAATTCCTTGGTCACCGTCGCCGAGACTTGGACGCCAATTACGCAGCATTTTGCGAAAAATGTAGGCGCCGTCGAAAGATTATTATCAAAAGTTACAAATGAAGAGTGATCTCGTAGACCTGCGCGTGAAGATGAAATAACAACTAAAATTATAGCACTATTAAGACATAAAGAAATAAAGTACTGATGTTTATTTGTATTTCAAAACTGGCTGTTGTTCCTTTAGAATTCTTATGTTCCAAAAATTATAATTATTATTTGCATAATCTAAATTTTATTTATTACATTGTAATCAATTCTAATTATATTCATACTAATGCATATTGGAATTTATTAAAATGTAATAAATAAAATTTAGATTTATGTATTATATAAAATTTGGACGTAAAGCTTTTTAATAAATATAAAGCTTTTGTCAATCAAATATTTATACAAAAATTTTCAGTATAATAAGTATTAAATCATTTAAAAAAATGTCTACATTATGTTTATATATTATTATTAAAATTTTTGCTTTATGAATTAGACTTTTTAATTTCTTTTCAAACTAAATCTGTTTTTACTGAAAAAAGATATTAGCTTTTGAATTTTTGTTCAAGTGTAAAATTAACTTTTTTTACACAAACAGCTAGCTGCATTTAAATTTTGTCAGAATGTTACGTATTTTACAAAATTAATATTCTCTTCTCCCACAGAGAAAGTCAAGAAACATTAATTAATTAACAGAAGTAGCGTATCATATTGTAATTATAAAATAATCGATTATAAATAATAAGAGAGCAAATGCAAAAGTATTTTCTTCTCATTCCAATTGACTTTTGCGTTAATATGAACTTTATGGAAAATCTAGGAATGAAATGGTGTCTACTGCAAGTTGATACACGGAGGATGTACGTGGAGAATGATAGATACTATTTTCGGCATCTCGAGAAGGGTTGAGATAGCTCTCTCAAGAGGAAGTAAGACGACGGAAGAAAGCAGAAGCAGGGTGCCGAACTACAGCAAGTAATTCCTCGACCGGAACTACGCACGAGCCATGTGGCAACATGGAAAATGATCATAATCGTAAAACTTGAAAACAGCAGCAGCAGATACAAGTTAGGTTTTAGTCCTCGCCTAACGACGATACTGTATATCGAGGATCGCTCATAAAATGCGACAAAAAGAATGTTTTCGATGAGAGCTTGGAATATTAATGATGATCGTAGCAATACATTATACATGATGCTGATAGATATCGTCGGTAAGTATCGTTATGTAAAAATTTGTTGAATACTCTGAAATCAGTTTCTGGCAAAAATATTTTTTATAAAATTGTAAGGATAAACGTCATGGACAAATAATTACTAAAATTCTAATTTAATTCTTCGTTTAATTTTAAAGAAATATTATAAAAACAGAATTTTCTTCTACTGCTTGATTATTAAGACACTTAATATTGCAAATTAAGTGCATAAAATTACATTTAATATAAGAAATAATATCCAGCTTCGAATTGATTTCAGAGTAATTAATTTTTACACACATGAAACTATATAAAGAATAAAATTATTTTCAAAACCGACTTCCAAAATAAATGTTTAACTTTGTGAAATAGAATTCTTAACATGGTGGGATTATGATTTATGCAGTAACATCTGTTCGCATAATAAAGTAAAATTCAAAGAAAGTTCTTTGACGATCACAAGTATACGTATACACGGTAATACTAAATCATCACAGATAAATAAACAATTGTGCCCGTGTAAAGATCGTGTCACATGCGCAATGTTAAATCACAAATTATGACATGGGATCGATGTAATTATAGTTTGCGTTTCACCAGATTCATCATAATTTCAATTCTTGCTAAATATAAATTATATCACTCACCAAACTGCATCAAACTGCAATGTCGCTTTCTGACACTCCATTGTTACCGCTAACTTGTAGTAAACTGCAATGTCGCTGCTTTGACACTCCGTTGTTGCTGCTAACTTTTGATAAACTGCAATGCCATTACCTTTTGACATTCCGTTGTTATCACAAACTTTTGGTAAACTGCAATGTCGCTACCTTCTAACACTCCGTTGTTTTCGCTTACTTTTGATAACCGCACGAAATTAATTACATCAAGTCCATTCACACTGAAAACAAAGAAATAATTGTGGCTAATAAATAATTATTAATTACACAATATTGTTTGAAAAGCTTCACTCACTTTAGGGCCAGGCAGTGAGAGGTGAATGCCTATAAACATGGAAGCAGTGATGCAGGAATGCAGACGCGGTTCTGCGTGAAGCGTTTTCTAGATTACCAACCTCTTAACCTAAAATAGTATACATAAAAATATTATGTTTATTTATATATAACTATTTGAAACGAGAATATGTATATATATTATTTGATACTTTGTGATAAAGCAAGTTATTCTCATATTTCCATAAACAAAAGCACCGATTAATTAATTTAAATAATAAGAATTTTTGCTAAAAAAAATATGGCAATAGCACACAAATTTGTTAGGTTGTCTGCCCTGAAGTGTGAAGTTTTGTGCAAATTTAAATCTTTACATTTTTTACCATAGTTTTACATAAATATACATTTTTGAGTACATTTTCATAATATCTTTAAAACAATGAGGCAAAATAATGCTTTTCCTTTTTAATTTTTAAAAGTATTATATATTCCTTTAGCATCAAATCAATAATAATAATACTGTAAAATAATCAAATATTGAATTGAACTATAAACTATATTGAAATATTATCACATAAAGAATATTGATGTTATACTAATATCTAATACATCTTAAATCATATAATAAATGATAAATATATTGTAGATTAATATAAATATAAAACAGATAGATAAGAGTAAATTTTGATTATGTTTTGCACACGTTTTATTTATCCATCCTACAAATGTATTTCCAAAAATATATTTATATATTTCAATTTATTCCTTCTTTCCACTTAATATACTAATGTAGTTAACGTACATTATTTTTTTTTTACAATTATTTTACAAACATAAACAGTAGGAATGTATTTGTACATTTAATATTATGCCCTTGAAAAATATTGTATGTCGCGATACATAAAACGCAAAATTCTCCATTTTAATCTTGAATCTTTTCTTGCAGTAGCTTCTCAAGCTTGCGTACGTCCGCTGCAAATTTGCGAATGCCTTCGCATAATTTGTCGGTTGCCATTTGATCTTCGTTCAAAAGCCATCTAAATTCGGCTTCGTCTAAACTAATCTTCTGCAGATCACATTTCTTTGCTGTCTCCACGCTTAAAACTTTATCAACAGGCTCGCTGCTCTTTTCCAATTCCTCTAGTAATTTAGGACTTATAGTAAGCAAGTCGCACCCAGCGAGTTCTCTGATTTCATCTAAAATAGAAATTCAAATTAAAAGAACTATCTACACTAAAATTATTTGAATAATGTTTAAGCAATGTTTACTATCGTATTTTACATTACATTTATATACAATACTTGCTCAATAATTTATAACATAAAACTATAAAATAATATGTTACAAGTTGCATAAATATTATAAGGAATAAAATACTTACCAACATTTCTGAACGAAGCACCCATCACAACTGTCTTGTAACCAAACTTCTTGTAATAATTGTAAATTTTCGTTACGGAAACAACGCCTGGATCTTCTTTACCTTCATAAGACTTTTTATCGGTATTTGCCACATACCTAAAATTTTTAATGTTTTTAATATTTATTTTTGCCTCACATAAGTACATGAACAGATTAAATTATGTGTTATGATGCTGCTGCTCCGCCACATCATAATAATTTACATATATATTTATATAATTCACTTACCAGTCAAGAATTCTGCCAACAAATGGCGAAATAAGAGTGACACCAGCTTCCGCGCACGCAACAGCTTGCGCAAAGGAGAACAACAGTGTCAGATTACAGTGAATTCCATATTTTTCTTCCAATTCTCTAAACAATGCTTATTTATTTGGATATGTTTAATCAAATATAAAATGTATGATATTTTGATTCTATTTTTTGCTTACTTTGCAGCTTGGATGCCTTCCCAAGTCGATGCCAGCTTGATCAAGATGCGTTCCTTGCTTACTCCAAGTCCTTCGTACAGAGCAATCAATCTTTTCGCCTTCTCGATGCTGGCTTCTTTATTAAAGGACAATCTGGCGTCTACTTCCGTGGAAACTCTCCCCGGTATTATATTTAAGATCTCTTTTCCGAACAGCACACAAATGATATCGAGAGCTGCTTCAACTTGCTCAGCCAAAGTACTAGAAAATATTAAATAATGTTAGGTTATAAGTATTATGAAATTTGTTGGAGACAAAACAAAAACAACACTTATAATGATTTATCTAATCGATGAAGAAGATAATGCCCGTCTATTGTATAATGACTTATGCATTATAAGAAAACTAACAAATTTAATTCAATTACATATACTTACATCAATGTGCAAATACTTACGATCCTGATTTTTTTCCATATTCAGCAGCTTTCTCAATCAGATGAGCGTATTTCTTTTGATTAGCGGCAGCGAGAATCAATGATGGATTTGTTGTTGCGTCAGTGGGCTTAAATTGCTCCATAGCTATAATAGATAATATCCAATTTTTATAAATTATTTTACTACACATTTTATTATTTACATCTTTTATTTTCTTATTCAATTATTTTATCAAACACTTCCACTCTATCCAAGTATCTATCCAAGTAAAAAACGATATATTACTCTCAGAGGTCATTGTTTAGTAAGACAAGGGTCACGATGTTTCATATTTGCACAGATATCCGTTTTATCAGTTACACAGATAAATCTATATGAAATCGTTCGATTTTTGACCATGACTTCTCGAAAGTTCCATATAAAAATCTTAATAAATTTCAATTTTACAGAAATTAATGTTTGTATTTTTAATTGATTGATTTTTAATTAATGTTTAATTGAATTACGAAAACGCTGTCGTCGATTCAATTAGCATAATGCAGCATTTGCTATAATTATCATAAAATATAAATTAATCAAATGCATAAGTAAAATTTGACTTTTAAATAAAACATTAAACTATGCGCACATTGTTATTCTTTTAAAATCATGATAATGAAAGAAAAAAACTGTTTTGAGTATTCAAAGAGTGTCTATTAAAAATTCAGAAATTAAAGTTTTAATAAATAGTTACAATAATTGATATAATTAATTATATAATAAATACGATATTAATATCTGACGATTATTAATAAATAATATCTTTATTCTGTAGATTTTATATCTGAGCAAATATATTTCATTAACTTTCAATAAATTTTCTACATTTGTAGTCATTGGAATCAAATTTAGGAGCAATAAAGTTTCGAAAGTAATAATTTTTATTCTTTCTATAAAAATTCATAATAATCTAATATTATCTATTAATGCTTGATATCGCATAAACACATCCAAACATTATACGAATGTATCACGACATAAATTTCGTTATTTTTTGAAAATAATCGCAATTTCTAAACAAATTTTATAATCTTTTATGGTTCGAGGTATCACGTGACACGCTTCAAATTAAATTGCTAACTTTGCAAGTCACCCCCTCCTTTCCTCACCTACCGTGCACACTTATCAGCATATTACCTTCACCTCTGATCGAATTCGAATTTCGACGTTATCGTACCTTGAAAGTCACCGGTGTCGGCGACAACCGTGGTGAGATCCTTTAACTGGTTCAACGAACTCATGATCTTCGTTTTCTTCGACTGAGGCCCGCTCATGATCGTCGTAAGTATTTATGTGATCGCGCACAGAGATGTAAAGTTTCGTGCTCACTCACGCGTTTGCCTTGTAACGCGAAGTACCTTCACGGCAGGTTCGCCAACTGTTAGCTTTAAAATTTACTATCAATTTACTATCATGTGCATAGGATATGGCGCGAATTTTTAAATGCAAAATATATTCCACAGATATAATTACCTACAACAAAAGATAACTGATTTACATAAATATAGCTTGTTGCTACATTGCATTTTAATATCACCTTAAAGAAAGCAGATTAAATAAAAATTTTTAAGATTATGTAAAAATCTTGTTTATTAAAATCTACTTAAGTACATGATACGCGAATATAATAACTTACTAGTCTATTACTGGTCTTTAATGAAATGTATGTATATATATATATATATATATTAACTATAAAAATAAAATCAAATAGTCATCATTTATATTTACAATAAACATGTGACGTTATTACGGTACGGTGATTTTTAATCTCTTTATACGTTTTGTTTCTTGTTTGCAATACCTAGTCTAAATTCTAAACTATCATCAAATAGATAAAAAATACAGAATATAGAAACATGATTGCACTGTGATTCCTTCATATGTGCAATGTAACAATTCTCTTATTACATTTTATTATAAGAGTTATGATCGATATAAATCTCAAAATAAAATGTTCACGATAAATAAAATCATGTTAAATATTCTCTTTTATCTCCTTAAGTCTCTTTTATTTTACTCAAATCCAGCAAGAGTAATACTTAATAAATTAATTCTATCTTTAATAAATTTCGTTTTTAACGAGTTTTTGAAATAATTAACGTATCGTTCACATTAATTGACAAAATATCGTTAAAAAACTTGTCAAGTTTATCGACAGTATCATATTGAAAATATTAAATTTTTTAAATTTTTATATTTTTAAATTTTTCCTACTGTCAGACTTTCTCAGAAGATGTATGCTTATCAAGCGTTACTGTTTTCGGCTGGTGACTATAAAGGAAAATCGAACAGATGACAAGGAATGCGCCCAGAGTAAACTGGAATGACAAGTAAAAGTTGAACAGATAAATAGAGGCTATACAGGAAATGATAATAGCCAGGGATGTGGCGAATCCTTTCAATATGTTATCAGCATATTTAACTACCATGGCTACAATCAGCCCACCGCCCGCTTGCAAGACCACCAGATAACAGATGAATAAATCATAACCGAAAAAGAAGCCCTGTTTACGTATAATATCACCGTCATGTAAGAAACACGTACCTAAACCAAACGGTATGGACAATACACTTAACTGCACATTTCGCATCCACACAGAAATATCAGAGCCCTTGAGTATCTTTTCGAAGTAGATTCCAGCAAAGCCAGATAAGAAACATGCACACAGAGCGGCAGAAAAGCCCAGCCAATGATTTTGTTCAATTCCTGAAGGTAACGATGTTTTGACACTTTGAGCAAGTTGCACCAGGATCACTCCGACAACCAAGAGCACTAAAGCTCCCCACTGAGTGCTACGTAGAGATTTGCGTAATATCGTTACCGCAAAGAAGGCCGTTGTCAAAATTTTTAATTGATATGTTACCTGAAAAGTACGACATTATCTATTGTAAATGTGTATTAATACAAAATTATTAATTATATGTTAATATACATTTACGTTGACTCTACAAACTATCACATCTTTTATCAAAATAAACAAGATATAAAAATATTTTAATAATGTTTACCTGATGGGTAGCTGCATCTAAATTAGATGCAGAAACATAAAGCAAATTGTTTTGTATGATATATAAAAGAGATGGCACACAGACTTTCAAGGTGTCGATAGGTTGCTTCACGATTGTCATATGTAGAGCTTTATAAAATTTCTCAAAGCTTCCTTCTTCAAAGAGTACTAGTACCAGACAAGTAAGTAGTTTGACTGCTTCAGCCATTACAACAGCTAAGAAAGAAAATTCTTGTAACATATTTTCTTTAAAATACTTTATCTGTCTACACATAAAACTGATTGTAGTATATATCACATAGTTAACAGTACATACCAGTAGAAGAAAGGAACATGTCTCCTGCTCTGGTACGGGAGTACCGCATGCTAAGACCAACCATAGCATTTTGAAGTGTGAGAGTGACTAAACTCACGTACTTCAGCGTTTGTATGTTTCCTGTAGTATAAGTTTTAGAAATTGTAATTATATGAACAAATAAATATGTAATATATTACAAATAGAATGATTCATAGATTGTACGTAATATAAATGATATGCTTACTTTGCGAATTCTTATTCATATTTGTGTTAGGCTTCTTTTAACTTTCTTCAGGAAACTTGTAGACGTTTCTTCACCAACTACATTTTTTCTAAAAGTATGAGAAATATTAACTAGTTCTTAAGAAAAAAAAAAGATATTTTAGATCTTTGAATCATAAGCAATCAATGTAATGGAAGCAGCAAGCAAAGGAGAAAAGCCATTAGCCAAATACTTGCAGATAAAATATTAATTTAGTAATTTACTTTCAAGCCATACTTGTTTAGAATTGTTTAGAATTAAATACATATAATTCATATATCTCTCTATATTTATATGCATATAAATACAACAAAGGTAATTAAAACAAACAGCTCACAAATCATAATATAAAAAGTAAAGTTAAGCAATAAAGCAACAAATAGTATTTCACAATACACAAATGTGACATATTGAAATGTCATTTTCATCAGGTCATGCATTATAAAGAAATAATTAAAGTATAGAAATTATTAAAAGATAGTAATTATTTTTTTAATACCACTTGTTTCTCATGTTTTGCATTGACGTTTGTGTTTTAAGGAATTTGTGCAATTTCAAAATTAAAACTTATATTAAAAGTTATAAATTTAGAAGACTTAGCAAAAAAAAGAAATGTTGAAAGCTATATTCGTATGTAAAGTGAAGAATTGCTTTCTAAATAACACTTCTCAAAAAAAAATCCACCTTTTCAGAAATATTTGTACACGTTGAACTGTACACGTTGACATTCCTACTCCACAAAAGTATCTAGTTATTTTCTTATCGACATCAATGTCGATTGGCTTCAATTAGTTTTGTGTTCTCAAAAATACTCTACTAATATCTAATTGATAGAAAGCATAAAAATAAATTTCCAAGTAAATATGCTTTATTTTTAAACAATAAATTAAAGATAAATAACAAAAAAAATAGAGATAATAATATATCTATGATGGTCTAACCTCACTCTTCAATGTAAAAACTTCTTTGGATTCAAAAGAATGAGCCAATTATGACATATAAATTGCTTAAAGATTGTTCACAGGAGATAACCAAGAAACCTTAAAAACATACTCTCACTTTATTGTAAACAGTTTATATATTTAATTGTGATATAAAGTAAAATATATAAAAGATATCTGCAATATTGTTTATAAAGATTTCTAACAAAATTACTTATCTATTCAAGGATCTATACAGGAATTATGACAATCACTAGACATAGGAAACATAACTCGGGTGGGAATGGACCAAAAAATGTCGACAGCAGTGGTGATGCATTGAACTATATAAGATACTAGAGTGAGTCTTTCTCATAAGAACCAATGTGTAGTCTGCGGCCCAAGAATAGCAATAGTAGGCGGGGACGTTTGTCTTCCTTCCACATTTATACACAAGCGAGAACAGAAGATGTCCAAAACTGATGGTCGAAATGTTCTAGATATTATGTTATTAAATATTATGAGTAAAAACATCTCATGTTTGGCGCTCTTTCAATAAATAATGTTTTAATAAATAACTCTCTTTTATCTAAATAATGTCCAAAACGTACTTTATTAATATAAAATAAAATTACATTATAATTTTTGAAAATATTTTTTGTTAATACTTATTTATTTAATATATTTATATATTTATTCATATTTATTCATATAAAAACTTATGTTTAATAATATGGTTATATGTTTAATACTTTAAAACTTTACGTTTAATATATTTGCTTATGTTTAATAAAAGTTTATAATAGTGCGGCTCCTATTATAGCCACGACCTCTTCCTCCACGGCTGTAGCTTTTACTTATCATGATCATCCGTGGGCTCTGTCCTCCTCTATTGCCGCCTCGCTGGTTATACCAGCGGGCACGCGACCGGCCGGCTCCTCTTCGTTTTTTTCTACCTAAAAATTAAACACATACATTTAAGTACTAAATAAATAGAAATAATTACGTATATTAATCAATAATTTAATGACAAAAAAATAACATACTATTTTCGCTTGTTTGCTGCTGCTGGTACTGCTGCACCTGCTGCTGCTGATACTGCTGCACCTGCTGCTGCTGGTACTGCTGCACCTGCTGCTGCTGGTACTGATGCACCTGCTGTTGCTGTTCCGGCTGCACTTGCTGCTGCTGCTTGCTGGTACTGCTGGTATAACTGCA